TTGAGAGGTTTTTGCTATAGGACGTGTGCGCTCGCCAGACAGACAGAGAGAGACAGAGACAGAAAGCGAGAAATCACCTCCCAGGGGGGATGGTCACGCCACAATCCCTTCTCCTCCATTCTCCTCTCGGGATCTTGGGCACGCATGCACACGTGCCTGGCGTGAGTTTAAGCCACTGGGTCTGGGACGCGAACCGCAGTCAACTACGTGGGAGTCCAGCGATATAGCCGTTACACTAACTGCTGGTTCCCAACCCTGGAAGGTCTTTGAGCAGGGGTGGGACAGGGCAGATGTTGGAGAAAAATGGGGGAGCAGTGGAGGCAGGATCGGGTGGGGCGGGGTGGAGCCTGACTGGGTCCTTGGGTTGATGGAGTAGGGGAGCCCCCCACCTGTGACTGTGCTGTTGCACCCACAGCTTGCTGTCACAGTGTGCTGTGCAGGCTCTGGTGTGTCTTATGACCTGAAGGGCTCCGAAGGGGGTGAGGCAGGGCAGGCTGAGTGACCCACTTGCCTCTTGTGCTCAGTGTAGGGGGGGAGGCTCAATAATTAAGCTGTATGATTTTTTTTTTTGAGAGGTTTTTGCTATAGGGTGTGTGCACTCACCAGACAGACAGAGAGAGACAGAGAGACAGAAAGTGAGAAATCACCCCCCGGGGGGAATGGCCACGCCGCAATCCCTTCTCCTCCATTCTCCTCTCAGGATCTTGGGCATGCACACACACACGCCCAGCGTGAGTTTTAAGCCACTGGGTCTGGAACGTGAACCGCGGTCGACTACGTGGAAGTCCAGCGACATAGCCATTATGCTAACTGCTGGTCCCGCTGTATGATATTTTAATGCCCTTGGGAAAAAAATTGATGGAACATGTCCATGATGAACAATGTAACAATTTTAAATAAGGAGAAGACCACTAGGGCTGAGTCTTTCTTTGCCTCAGGTTCCAGGAGGGCTCAGCAGGGCACCCCTCCAAATTTCTTTTTTCAAGGAGCTTCCCTCTCCAGGAAGCCTTCCCTGACCTCAGCTGATGAGGGTCCCCTGAGCGGTGGTTGCTGGCTGGTGGTATCTTAGATTCTCCAGCCTGAGGTTCCTGAGGGCTGGGCCAGGTCTGAGGTCTTGATCATCTTCCAGCGCCTTGACCAGGGATGTCCCAAAGGGGTGTCAGTGCAAGTCTCAGTGTCTCTACCCTTGGCCTGAGACCTTCTGTGGCAGAATAGGAACTTGAAAGGGCCCAGTGAGGGCCGGGCCCTTCCTGGGAGAGGAGTGGCTTCCTGTTTCCCAGACCCGGCCACTCCAGAGGGGTGGTTGGGACCACGTCAGTAGCGTTAAACCCTTAGCACAACGCCTGGCCGGGCAGATGCGGTTCACCTCACCCCGTGCCGAGGCGGGGAGCGCTGTCTGGGAGATTGTGGTGTGAGCACAAATGCAGTTTAGTTTCTAGTAGGCACGCGAAGAAACAAGTGTGGGGCCAGCGGCTGATGTGACAGTTAAGGCCAGCCACGGCCCGAGTCCCAGACGGGGCGACCTAAATCACGCCAGGCATGTGTGCTTGCATCCCACAGTCCCGAGAGGAGAATGGAGAAGGGATTGAGTCGTGGGTCTCTCTCCAGCGCGTGTATATGCCCTAAAAAGAGAAAAAGGAAAAGGAAACAGGTGGAATTAACTTTTTTTTTTTTTTTTTTAGTTTATCTCTCTCTTTTATTCATGATAGAGTATATGACCGAGAGAGAAAGAGGTGAGCATCCTCCACAGAGTCTGGTCCTGTCACAGTCTCTTCATCCAGCCCTCTAGTCTCTTGGATCTTGGGACTCACCTGCATGTCGGGCCTGGTCCAGGCTGACGAGGCCAGGGACTCAAGCCCTGGTCGCCATGTGGGATCTAGCCTCTCTTGATCTGCACGTTTCCATCAAGCCAGCCTATGGTGGCTAGAGAACAGGAGGGTTAGTTCGTTAGTGTTTCATGCAAATAGCCATAAGATGGGGACCAGCAGATGGTGTAATTGTTACGTCACTGGACTCCCACATGGCTGACCGCAGTTCGAGTCTTAGACCCGGCAGCCCGAAACTCAAGCTGGTTGCGTGTGTGTGCGTGCCTAAAATTTGGGAGGAGAATGGAGGAGAAGGGATTGTGGCATGGCCATCCCCCTTGGGGGTGATTTCTTGCTTTCTATCTCTCTGTCTCTATGGCGAGTGTGTGTGCCCTGGAGCAAACATCTCTCTCTCAAAAAACCCCCAAATATCTGTAAGATTGTCAGTTGATCATATAATCAATAGGAAAAGCATTGAGATATTTTACCTTATTTTTCTGTATTAAATATTCAAAATGAAAAGTGCTTACAGCATGGGGGGGTCACCTATCCAGTGTCCAGTAGCCACACGTGCCTACTGCTTGCCGGCTACTATTGGACAGCACAGGTCTGGACTGGGCTCGCACTGCCCCTTCCTAGCTGTGTGCGGCTTTGGGCAAGTTGCTTAACCTCCCTGTGGATCAGTTTCTTCATTTTAGAAGAGCGATGACAATCGTGTGCAACTCGGAGGCTTGCCGTGGCGGTTAAATGAGGTGATACAGTGAGCTCAGTCGGGTACCTGGCCTGTCGTCACGTGCGCCATTTCTCCTTCATTTCGTGACATGTCCTCCGTAGCACCGCTATCTCTGCAAGTGCCTTCACTGGAAGTACTAGTTACTGAAAAGTTATTTTAAAGTATTCACTTCAGGCCCGGCTCTATGGCCGACCATGTGGTTTGAGTCCTGGACCTAGAGGCTAGAATCTGCTGGGTGCATATGTATGCCTGCCCAAAGTCCCGAAAGGAGGGAGATGGTGGACAAGGGACCGTAGCATGACCCCATGGGGGTGCTTTCTCCTCTCTCTCTTTCTCTCTGGCAAGTGCATACACCCTACGCAGAAAAAAAAGTTTGAACGCTCACTTTTAAGACATATACCTGTTTTAACCCCGATTGCTGGTAATTGTGGCGTCTGCTTAAGGTGAATAACTAGGAAGATGTAGACGTTCTATGTACCCGCTAAAGCCATTATGAAGAATAGTTTGGGGAGTTCCTTTTGGCTGGAGCCGCCGGCATTCAACAATTAAAC